TGTCTCTCTCTCTCTCTCTCTCTCTCTCTCTCTCTCTCTCTCTCTCTCTATCTCTTTCTCGTTCTCTCTTTTGCTTGTCTCCGACTTGTGACGTCGAACGTATATATGTGTATATACAAGCGGCGCGCGACGTTGACAAGGGCGAACATCGACGATTTCTGATGTAGGAGCTTCCTATAGCGAATTTCACACAAAATCGAACGGAATTGTGGAGAATCCTGTGAAAATCGCCTCATAATCGTTTCGCGATCGCGACGCTTTTCGATTTGAAAAAGGAAAAGTAAAATCTTATCGGCCTCCCCTCGCGTCCTCGCGATTGTCCCCCCTCTACCTCCTCATCCGCCCTCCACGTCGCGTTCGCCGTCTCGCGCGCGCGATGCCATTGCACCGCCGAACGGATCGCAGCAGGAAAGGCTATAAATACACACGCATCGCGCGCGGGGTAAACAAACTTGACCTCAGCGGAATTCTTATCGGCGTATATACACGGAGTTTGAGGTTATGTCGCGCCTACGCACTCTGAATTCGGTGTATTGTGCCTTGCACGGCTGACGTGCGCGCGGAGGCGGCGATTTTTCGCTCGCAGACGGCGATTTTTCGCTCGCAGGCGGTAATGAAAGATTTGCCAGAATTCAACATGCCGGATGATGTAATAACAAAGAGACGCGTCGCTGTAATAATTACTCGCTCGCTTCTAGCGCATAATGCGAGTCGCTTGCAATAATTCTGTAAAAACCTAATGCATTCAGTTGTGTAGCATATGAATGCGATTGTCATTTAAAGAGTGTATATGTGTGTAATGTAACATATATCTGTATCATCCACAAACCGGTTTATTCAATAATCAGGCGTTGGTAAGTTTTTAATTCTTTGTTCGCCGAATTCTCTCTATTTCAGTCATATATTTTTGATAACATCGTAAATTTAGCCCCAGAAGATGAATTTTTTTACGAGATGTATATAGAATTGCAACAATTTTGTCGATTTTAATAAATTATTAAGTAACTGAACTCATGCTATTTTTAAAATAAACAATATATATTATGTGTGTAGATTTTTTCTGTTTTTATCTTATGGAATTATATTTCTTTATGTAGGCGTACATATTTTATCATGTAGATTAGGAAAGATATGAAAGATTAATGCTTATGCTTACATACTTTCCCAAACAATTACATCTGTCCAAAGGTTATCAAAATTATCAAAATAAATATTTATTTACTATTAAAATAAATATTAAAATAAAATATTGTTTTGATAAAGTTATTTAAAATATTGAAACTAACCGGATAATTCACATTGTTTCGTGCATATAATGAAACATTCTTATAAGATTGTAACTTTTGTACAGAAAAATGATTGAATCTTCTGAGAGAAATTTTTTTTTATTTTCACAACAGAGTACTGGCGTTAATCAGCTATTTGAAGACTGTGAATACGAGTGCTGTGTATTTGGCTTGGGTGATAGTTTAAAGACTGCAGTGGAAGAGAGATTTTGATGCGATCCGAAATGAAGTGGACAACCGGTGCTCCCTTTAACGAACAAGTGGGCGAACTCACTCGTGTATTTTCTCAATGGAACGAGTGCGAACAGACTGTCGTTCTCTATGCATTGTTGCGTCGCATACCCGCAGTTCAGGCGAGGTTCCTCGCTCAAGCGGTGCAACATTCTCTGCACTCTGTGTCCGAATTGGACACAAAGGAAATAAATGCCAATAATCCAAGTAATTCAACGCTTATATATCCCATACTGAATAATAACGTTATATGTGGCTTAATGAGATACCATATATAATACGGCAAGCATGTTAATGTTATATACATTGTATTCCAGGTTACATCAACTCGCTGCTGACAGAATCGACAGAAGTTGCGATCAATCAGCTTCTGACGCATTTGCCCCTGCTAAGGCCCGGGAATATAGAGTGCAAACAAAGCTATCTAGTAGCAATACCTGAATTAGTGAGCCATTGTGTGAGCACCGGGCAGTTTACAGAACAAACCCAGCAACTTTTAAGCTACACCCTGATACATCCAGCTATAACTAGTCAAGACAGACGTTCTTTAACTCAGTGGCTCAGACATTTGGAAGATCGTATCAGTGGTACACCATCGATTACCGGTTTCGAAGATTATCCAAATACTCCAATCAAGTAAGAGAGAATCGAGTTGAAATGAGCAGGGCAAATGATGTTTCATCTGCAATTTTTTTAAACTTTGCTTTCTTTTATAAGATGGGAAACTCCATGGCAGAGGAATTCCAAGCAGCATGATGATCAGACGAATCTATTTAATATGGCTAGATCTCCATTTGTACAATTTCCAGTATCCGTTAATCGTCAACGTCGTTCAAACAGCCTGACGCCACCTGTGGCACCGTCGCATCATCTCGAAATCGTTGAGCGTACCAACGCAAACAATTCATCCAGACACAAGCCACGCAGCTTCAGTGTCTCCGGAGATCATACCAGTAATTTCTGATTATATTTTGTAAAAATTTCATTTATCTTTAATATTCTTCGTACTTCCTTAAACGGCCATCATTTTTACGTAGGCAATATTATTGGTTTGGGTCCATTGAGCCCGCAAAGTTCCTGCGCGAGTAGCGGTAGCGAAGGTCGTTTGGATGATGCTTCAAATCGTTCGCTCGCTAGCGGCATGAGAGGTAGATTGAAATATGATTCTAGTACTGAATAAAAATAAACGGATTGGCCGAAAGAAGGCTCAGTCTCCATGGCCTTTTTATGAAGCTTCAGATTTTTAGATAATTTCTCTCCAATATTTTAAAATCGTGGAACTTTTTAACCGCATCCTTCTCTCAGAGCCATCCGTGATACATTCAGATCTCTTTTATCCTCGATATTTAACTCTCGCCTTTGCTTTTTTAGATGTACACGCATGGCTTAAAACATTACGTCTCCATAAGTACAGCTACTTATTCGTTAACATGAGTTACGAGGATATGTTGCAATTGACGGAGGATCAATTGGCGGAGCAAGGAGTTACGAAGGGCGCGAGGCACAAGCTGGCTCTTTCGATTGCTAAACTGCAGCAGCGATACAACACGCTTTTGAATCTCGAGAAAAGTCTCATGCCTAACGTCCATGATGGCACGCAGAACACCTCGTTCTCGCAGGGTTCGTCACTACTCATCAATACGGTGGACGAGCTGAAAACAATAATAGCCACTCCCATGAAGCCGAGTCAGGAAAACGATCAGCAAGATATCCCTGCGCAGTTTACGAAAGTGCTCGGAAAGTGTACGTAGAAGAACGCGGGGGGTTTTTTTTTTGCTACTAAAATTTCATGTAGATTGCTTGAAAGGAAATCGTTACATGATCTTTTTCCTTTAGTGTGCAGTAGATTGGTTCTGATGGAAAATATGGAGGATGGTATTCTGTGCGGATGCGTCAACATCTTGGAGAAAGTATTGCAACACGACTGTTTTACCCCGAATCAGAAGGAGAAAGTGCAGCAATGGCGCAGCCGACTTGGCAATCCGCGACCAACTCCAAAGTAAGCTGTCTTTTTTTTTTTTTACAAATTATCAGATAGAAAATACGAAATAATGTGTATTATTAAACGCGCGATGATTTTAGGTGGCAACACAATTACGGTTACAATAACAGGAGGTATGGCAATCCGCAACAGCACAACCGGAAGCCGATGAATTTGAACCACATTCATAATACTCACACACACACCCAGTTTATGATCACCCCGCACAGAAACAGTATATCTACTCCGTATTTGCAAAATAATCAGAATCAGAATATGAACAACTTGAATACCAACAACTTGCGTGTACATACGACTGAAAAGAGACCGAGTCTGCAAGAGACCAGCTTGCAGGTAAAGAGAAGTCTTCGTGTTGACTAATTTTTTTTTTTTATTTATAATCGATAACGTCGCCTCCGTTCCGTTCATTAATGCACTTTGAAACGCACTTTACAGCAGTTGCAGAAAACGTTGCAACGTACGCACAGTGCGCCGCGGGATCATTTTTTGGGACAGTCCGCTAACGGGACGAACGAAACAACGGAACCGGAAATCGTTTCTCGTTTGGAATCTCTCTGCTTGAGAATGACTGAGCAAGCGATCGGCGGATTTGGTGAGGCCTAATCTTCCATATTCATGTCCTAGAATTTATCGTAAGTTCCGTTAGAGCAATTCTTTTCGGATTTTCGATTCCGAAAACTCATTTTAGAGAAACTCTGTTTGCCAAAACACGAGCGAGCGAGATAGCGCGTGTAAGTCATTGATTTTAAAGTGAGAGTTTCAACGACACATATTATTTGTGCGAATATCCCTGCGTGAATAATACTTACGCTTTAATAGCTCTACCAAATGGAAAAAAAATGTCCGACACGTGCGACATTGCTAAGCGCGCACGCGAAAGAGAAAGAGAGAGAGAGAGAGTGAGAGAGAAATAGACATGAGGTCACTCAGTGAAGATCGAGTGACTCTTACACTTACACGTGTAAATTGTATTTTTTATTATATCTGATGCAATTTACTATTTAATTGACAAAATTTGGCAAGCCAAATGTTATTAAGGAGATAGATTCTTTCCTCGACTCTATTTGCTGCATCCGTATATATAAATATATTATATAAAAAGAAGTATATATATACACAATGCGTATGATAGAATTTTATGAGAAAGGAATTTTAAAACATATAAAAATGCGAGAAATGAAAGGCGGAAAAAATGACATTACATCACCATGCGATGTTCTGCAATATTATTTTTCGTGTTATCCATTTTGAGAAATGGAATTCGTCTGATTTTATGCGCCTGAACACATTATAACAACGTAATGTAATTCATTTTTAATAACTGGACTGATTTTACTTCTTTTTAATCTTATTACTATTATTATTATTATATTTTTATTATTATTACTATCTACATCACTATAACTAGCGCTACTATTGCTCCTACTACTATTATCGCTACTACTATTATTGCTACTTCTACAACTATTGCTACTACTACTACTACTACTATTACTACTACTACTACTATTCCCACTACTATCGTCACTATTATTACTCTTACAAACACCACTACTGTTACTCTATCGCTCTTACTATTACTATACTGTTATAACTCCGTTTAGAACGAGGATATTTAAAAGGTTGCCACTCTTGGTCGTATAAGTTCATTCGCGCATATCCTTACAACTTAATCTCACCTTGTGCCGAAAAGCACGTACGGCAGCGTGTATGCTTCGTAGTTTGCGCACAGATCTCGTGATACGTTTAATTTGGTTCAGCAATTTTACTTCCCCCCCCCCGTTCCTTGTTTTTTTTTTTCACGTTTTTATGAAACGGTAAGCTACTATAAACGCAAGTAAATAATACAATAAGGGATATTAAAGGCCTTATAACGTGAAAGGAAACGAGCGAAGAACATGTAAGGAGTGTAGAAATTTGATATTATAAAAGTAGCAGTGAAATTTTTGAGGGGCAAACTGGCGCTACGCATCGTGGCGCGACATCGAAATCTGTGGCTTTAAATTATAAGCATACATCGTATCTAATCTACTTAGCATGTTAAAGTAGCGTCGCGAGTAATGTAGCGTAATATTTTTTCGTGCAACCAGAAAATTAAATTTATTAAATTGCATAATGTTAGTGAGTAAAATAATCGATTAATGTGAAGTATAAGAAAAAAAAAAAATAACGAAAGACTGATTAATTCACGCGCCACGATCCGTCGGTTTAGATTTCTGGATGCTTCATTATCCTTCCGTTCGCACGGATTTTGTGCGCGTGAATAAATATTGGAAGACTGTGAAGAGGAAAAACTTGTACAAATATTAAGAATTAGCGAGCGAGAGAGGGAGAGAAAGAACGAAGGATAGATGGAAAAAAAAAAAAAAATCGAGCGAAAGAATTACCGAAGTTGAAGAAGATAAAGCTAGTTAATTAGTATATATTATAGTGATTATTGTAACAATTATATTCTGCTAGAGGATAATACGTGTAAGACCACGCGGTGATTTCTCGAATCCAGGAAATATCCTGCTAAGAAGAGCTAAGAACTGTCTATAGTTAGTGATATAATCGATACACAAGAGGAATAACCATACTTAATCATCATTTCATTTCACACACGCGTTACGTTTTACTCGATCAAGCGGCAATAGCAGCAGCACCAAACAACATCCGATCAGTCATATATGTATATATATATTATTACATATACATATATCGCGGACAATTTCAAGAGAAATGATCAAAAGCTAGTCAAACGATACGTTTCTAATTTCTACCAGTTAACCTGTATAGTTAATTAATTGTACATTAAATCTGCGAACATATAAGACACATGTATTTACACACACACACACACACACATTACATCTACACAGACACACATACACACGCGCGCGCGCGCATACATCACATATACACACTACACTCATCAAGTCACGTACACACATACGCATTTCACTATGTTATACAAGCACGCAATAAATAAAGCGACCCGAGCGAGAATGCATGCGAGAAAGCTCAAAGACTGCTCCTAAACGACATCAGGAATTTCATTCAGTGTAGAATTACTACTTATATCTCATCTAATCGAAGCGCATCATCTAATCTCCAACTGACAAAGGCAGGACCTGAACTTTAATAGAGGATGCAGAGAGATTTTATCCGCGATATATAGCGATCAGAGCTAGAAGAAAAGGGAGAGGAAGAAAAAAAAAAGAAAAAAAAAAGTGTAAATCAATCCTGCCGAGGGTCGGAACCGCCGCTACGTTAATTTTCTGCCAGTTTGATTGTCATTAATCTATTCGCCATCGTTGTTTGTGGTAAGCTTCACGGTGTAGTATAAACATATGTACTTAGTACTTACTCACAGCCGTTGTCAGGATCGCCGGACACCTTGTCTCGCTCAAAATTAACTATCAGCGGCGGTTATTTCGTGGCTGTTTGAAGTTACGTGGCTGGCGATGCGCACGAACGAGCGATAACGAATTGTAATGCAATGTAAATCGATAAAGTGTTTTGATCAATGCTTTAGATCTTAAGTTGAAAAATCACAAGGAGTTCACAGAAATAATTCTCTTCGAATAACGGCGGAAGGAAAGTGTCGAATGTCAGCGACAGCCGGCAAGCCGCACCATTTTCCGACGACAAGAGTCGCGCGAAGAGGTTAACGAAATTTTTCCATCCGAAGAACCGGTACCTGAATATTAAATAGAATTATCAGGTCATTAATTCTATTAATGCGCAAGCACTGAAAAATCTCGCATCCAACTCCTTGTGCTTTTCCAATTTATTAATGGACCTATATGTAAACACGTGTGCACATTTTATTTTATTTGACTCGTTACTTTCATATCGAGTTTGTCGACCATTAGATGGTAGTAAAATGTACCACGTTCGCTGTGTTCTGTTATCCGCTCGTTAAACCTCGGTTCAGGATAGACGAAAGTAGATATGTGCGGGGGCAAGAGTTCGCGGGATACTCTTTGGTCGGATACTTGCAGCAATCAGCTTCTCAGAGTTGCGCACTGACGATTGGTAGTAATCGCCACGGGTGATTTTTCTCGATCGCGATTTCGAGCACCAGACGATGCGAGTTTCCGGCTGAAGGCGTCCACGACTACCCAGATAGCAAATGGTAATTTGTATCCGGCGCAATCAAAGCCGGATCGCGTTGCAGCGACTGATTTTGCTTTAAAGGGAAAAGGAAAAAAGGGAAAAAAACGCGACCGGAAAGCGCGCCGCGAGACGCTTTCTTTTTTGTACGCGGGGATTCGCACCCTCGCCGGAGTACTAGTGTTCACGTTTTGCCGCAGCTTCTCCGGATGATACTAGATAAGCTGTATTAAGACCCTTCGAATTCGTCAGATTGCTAACTGGGATACCTTAGTCACATAAGTAAGCTGGGCAACTTGTAAAAAATGCAATTTTTGTACTGTTATAAAAAGTTAAATAGACGAGGGTACACTGACGTTGTAGCGTGAAGGAACATTTTTCAATAAAAGATTTTTCATACGCATACATCATGTGTTGTTATTAATTGCACCCCTGCGCTAACCCTAAAACGTTATTTTCTATTGTCATGTTAGAAGAAAAATCATGTATTTTGAATAATTAAATCCAGTGAAGAGTGTGATTCCCAAATGCTTCAGACATTTCTTACGTGTGTCTAGATACTTTCGACAAGATGGCGTACAAAGATAAAAGAAAGAGCGCACCGATTGACTTTATAGTTCTCTAAACAGCATTTATTTTCTTCTTTTGTTACATTTTTGAAGTCGCGTCCCGCTCGGGGACGTTGTGCACAGTTTCAACGGTGAAAGATAATAGTAAACGTCGATACAATGTCATCGTTCCGCATAATATATAAATATTTAGACCTGTGCCGGCGAGAACGCCCGCCGAATCTAGAATCGTGTGATTTTGTCCGACTTGTATAATCATCCGTTCTCCCGCCCGTCCCCGCCATCTCTAACGGAATGGCTACGTACACACGCAGGGATTTAATATATTAATGTAATCTTCTCTCTCGGGATATCGGTACAAGGTCGTTGAAATATCGGATACAAGTACAAAACGATCCGTGCTACGTTCATTCCCTGATAACGGAGCCGTTATCTCTCCGAGTCCTCTTATCGCGACCCTTTCAGAATGAGTTACAGTCCGCGGGCCTCGACGAACGAAAATTCCTTTCTTGTTCTCTGTCAAGCTCTGGACAATGTACGCAGCAAACCTAGATAACAGAAGTATCTAAAAAAAAAAAGAAAAACAAATTCCTAACCTTTCTCGGAATTTGTATGTCGATGGAGAATCAATTAGCTTGAAAACTGCCGAGGTTGATTAAAACTTTTTATTCCTTCCCAGATGACAGCTCCGATTGCAATACAGAGCCAGACAGAGAGCTCAATGTCCATCACTCATATGCAACTGTCGATTCGAGTCACGCATTTTGCTGTTCGTACCAAATATTTGAAGAACCTATTCTCGCTTTCACACACTCACGCGTTCCGCCTAGTACGAATGGCTACAAAATAATAATAATAAATACTTACAGCTACCTAACGGCTACTCTTAAGTTTGAAATGCAAAGAATCAATCGTCGTCGCTTAAACCGTACAGTTAAATAGACAGTATCCACGTACTTAAACCTAAACTCGTAATTTAATGTATATGTTCGGTATAAACATCAATTTATTTCGCTTCTCTCTGCATCATGCGCACACATACATACATGCGCGTGCACACACACACACACGCGCGCAAAGTTCTAGGTTTATCTCTATACACGTATGTACATAGATCGACGACACGCTTTACTGTTTCGAACCCTAAATTTATGTGACACTGTTTGATGCGATGAAATTTACGAGTTCCGACACAACATGCAGCGAGATGAAAGACTGTTGCTCTAATATTAAACAGACAACATTTTATTACAGATTGCTACATATATTGAAGTTATAATGCAACTTCAATACAACACTACCGTATCAGCATCCGTTAGGCGAGCTCTTATCGCTTTCGCTTAAAAAACAGAATCGCATTCAGCCGCGTTTACTTTCTGCTTCTCTAATTTGTTTACGATATCTATTGCTATCAAACTGACGATTTCCAGGAGAACAATCTTAGTTTGCCTAAACGCGATAACGAGTCGACCATCTACTGGTGTTCATGTTGCTACCATGTAAAAAAATTTCAATCAATAGACAAGAAATGGAAAAGATACGCTAAGAGTGCCCTTATCGAAGAATTTTTATCACAAACTACCGATTCTCAACCTAGCAGTTCGAATTAAAAATCCTGTAATATTGTCCATATCACTTTATATTATTTTTAGATAATAACAAGTAATATATGTTTCTTTTTTTTTTTAAAGCGGGAAAATGTTTACGAAGAAAGAGCGTTTCCGACAATGGCACTTCTCTCGTGAATTTTGCAGGGACTAAATTACGAAAACTTATTCAACTATTTTTTTTAAATTATCGAATAAAAGAATTTATTTCTTACGGTAAAACACAATCGAGTAATTTCCCTGGAAAAAAAATGTATCAATCTACATACATAAAGAACGCGATTCGTCTTTATTTCTGCGAATAAAATCGGAACATATTTCTTTATCGTTGAAGAAACTCCTCGCAACTATATTCTGAATGAGGGTTAGTCGTTGCACCCTTAAATCAGTTAATTACACTTAAGAGATAGTGTCACAGCTAGTAGCGTTACAGCGGTATACTCTAACTTTCGTTCGTCTATGTACAAAGCTCTATAATAAGGAAAGAATTGCAGCTCTCGCAATCACTCGTGCTGCCCAAGCATCGATATTACGATCCATATTTATATGGATACACGAGGAACACACGCCGATCCCATCGATCAGACTAATATTGTTGAATCGCGACAATTTGCGGAGCCGCTTTATCGCCAATCGACAAAGTGGCGTTGACGCGCTGTGACATTAATAATAAATATCGCTTTCGCTGCTTTTTCTCGCTCCGCTCGGGAATATCGACGTATCGACGTTTCGCGACATCAATCACGCTGCCGATCCGAATTAAAAACGGCTCCGCAAGTGCTCCCGACAATTCTCTCCTTCTTTCGCAAAATCCTCTTTGGTCTCGTACATTCGAATAGAATATTAATAATATAACGTGTCGTGAAGAGCTTCGTGTTCTCTGTTCGCGTCGTGTTACACGTTTCCGTCACGCTCGTAGCACGCTTGGCGGCTAATAACCGGTTTTTCGAGCCCCGCGTCCTATTTGAGGACCGACTAAACACGTAGTATGGCATTACAAAAAAAAAATATACAGACAATCGTCGTGTTCGTAACGACGTTTCTTAAATCGAATACTAATAATACTATTGAGTGTCATGCAATATCGGTGTATAAACATCTCGTGCTCGACGACCGTGAAATTCGCTCCCTTCCCTTTTTTCTCAAACGCTAAATTTAATCACCCCTCGTTTCGTATCTCACATTCGGCGCCAAGTACTGTCGTTTGATTATTTGTCTCGTAGAAAGATCTCGCATTTAATATGTCTCAAGCTTTTGCGGGGATTAGATGGGTATTTAGCGCTGAATATGAAATACGAGTTACGGCTTCGCATAATGAATTTCGTCTATCCCTACGTTAAATCGATCCCGTTATTGGCAGTACGGAAAAAAAAAAAGAATAGAAAGATCAATAGAACGTTGAGACACCAGAAAACCGCGCGAACTGTGCATAACCTTTCTTTCTCCTTTTGCGGAACAATCGTCGTTCAAGTGTCGCGAGAGTGTATTATACAGGATTTCCCAGACATGTTTAATATGATCGAAAGCTCATACTTTTCTACTCGAGTCCTCTGTATATTTCTTTAGCTATAGCTACATATAATTATTTATTGTTAAATATTTATTATTAATTTTTATCTGTCAATAGGGAAAGATGCTTGTTTGTATTTTTTGCTTTTAAGAACATCTCTCGTAATATAAGTTGAATGCATTTGGATAAAATCTACGTTATCTCGTTAACCATTTGGTATGGAAAATGTCATTTGACTCACAATTTGTTCATTAATGCGTTACTTCATAGTACTACTAATTCATTTTGAAATATCATATATCACATTTTTTTTTAGCATCGCGGTTCAGCAACCGGGAGTTCAATCTTAAATTCTGATTTTTAACGTCAGCGATGCACGACGCGTGTGTTTACTGACGCCATTTCCGACGTCGCATTATACTTTGTCAGCCGGATTTCTAACTTGCAACTAGATTATATTTTTGCGTACCGTGTTATAATATTTGAGTAGACGAGTACATAATAAGATCTCTACGTATAAACTCTTCAGATACAACATTCTTCGACAAACACCGGAAACCCGTGAATGCCAACATCCTGCGTTTGTACAATCAGTTTTTTTTTTAAAGAATCATTTCGAGAAAAAAATAAACTCCGCTGCATTACAATAAGTGTCTGGATGACAAGACGAAATTTCCGAGTATTCATTGTCGACGGTAACATTCATTCTTCGAAGATCTCGATATGATTGTCATCCAGCGTAAGACACTAATACCGAGCTAACACACCATTTTTTTTTTTAGTTACGCAGTTAGCACAATCTACGACGTATTTATTGATTATGGCTCATTGTAAGATCTTGAAGATGTCTACTTGAATCAAGACGGCAAATCAAAATTTATTTTGTAACTTCCTTAGAACAATCCTTCCTTAGATCTCGATATAACGTTGCATCATACATGACAAGAGAACGAATTGAAATTTCTTAGAGTACTCAATCGATTTAAAAAGTCTTAAAATATCATAAAATGAAACAGCGCTGCATCAGCGGAGAGAATTCTGCTGCGAATCGTTGGAGAAAAAGAGCCTCGGAATCTTTTAGTGTTCGGAAAATAAATAAATTACAGAAAAACCCGCTGGACGATAAGACGCAAACTCACATGTAAACTGTTGAATAAAATATAACACAAACTAGTTAGTGAACATAGAATCTTTCGCACTTATAATTACTTTGAGATAACAGAATTTTATCGTCTCGTTCGAATAGTTTTTTCTTCGCAGAGAGAAACGAAAAAGGTTAACTGAGAAATTTGTCTTGCGTTAAAAAAAAAAAAAATAATTATACTACTGTTCGCGCTCGAGTTTTTGAAACATTTATGTGATTTATGTGATCAAAATTGCCTCTGTTGATGCACTCTCATTTTACTTTATGAATATTAATTTATCCTCTCTATGGAACATTTCCTATACTTTTGATACATATTCATGAGAAACGAGACTTAAAATGTAGACGTAATTTTTCACTTGGTAACGGCTCTCTCATTGACGTCTAACGTTCCCTCCTTCGGACGCTTATGGCTGCCACCGAGCTCTAAAGAGACGGCGGAAACGGAGATGGCTCGAACGGGCGCGTTCACTCCTTCGGCTTTCTCAGCCAGCTTCTCCGCCCGAGGCTGGCGACGCTCATCGAGGTGGCAGTGCTGGTGATGCTCGCCAACGAGTTCAGGCTTACCGAATGTTAATCCTGCAGCATATGGACGAAACTGATTGGAAACATGCCCCGCCGCTCCGGTGCGCGTTCCAACGCACCCTCCATCCAGTTGTCGTCGTCGGTCTGCTCGTTCGTCACGATGATGACCTCGCCCTCGCGGAACGAGAGCTCGTCCTCGTTGTCGGCCTCGCAGTCATACAAGGCCCGGCAACGTCGGAGGCCGCTCAAGGTCGACGACGTCGGCTGGATGAAACGAGAAGAATCGAATGAATACGAAATAGCGTAACGGCGTGCCGTTTGACGGAAGTAAGCACTTTTGTCGCTTGTATTTCTGTCGCGGGCCGACAAGCGTAAAGAGCACTTGTTCTCCAGAAATTAAAAGAATATTGGAAATTCTAGTAATATTTTTTAAAGTTGGAGACTTTACCGCGCAAAGGGTTCACTTTCGACATTATTTATGTTTGAAATCAAAGAATTAACAAAGGTCAAGTGATGAATTGCGAAATTTTAATTGTTACATAAACGTCCCAAAGCAGTTAAGTTTTATTCAATTGTATAAATAATGAAAATTTTGAGCAAGTATTTAACGCGCGTCTCAAAACTAGAATTTCCAACGTGAAACATCAATATCATGCTAGTTATACGACTGTCAATATTTGAATAGCTTACAGTAAGAAAATTTTATAAGAGGGGGAGGGGAGTGTCACGAGTCTCGGAAGTAGTAGAACGGATGCGATAAAGTGTGACCAGACACAAATGCATTCGGAGAAAATCCATGCGTGAATTATCATTTACAGACTTACACTTTACATTGCACAGTTTCTAAAGTATTATCTAATATTATGTACAGGAGTGACTCGTGAAAACGGCAACGATTTCGATTAAGGAAGTCAAAACACAGATCAACGATCCAGATAGATAGATTAATAGTCGATCCAGGAATGTTAGTCTCGCACACAACGCAACGCATCTCACAATTGTCAGCGGTGAGAAATCTGATAACGCAGCTCTTTGTCTCGCGAAAGATTCGTATCGTTGTTACCATACAGCAATATCTCAAAACGATAACGAGCGTCTGATCGTGTAATGCTCAAACTGGCAGCGTGGTCGAAAATGATTACTCGGCATAACCCGGAAACAAGATTATATGCAAAGCCTCCACGTGAGCTAAACAAATGATGATACGAACGATTGATCATGCAAAGCACTGCTACACTTGAAAATATCGTCGGCAGATGAAGATAAAAGTACAAGCTCTTATTTCGATTGTAACGATTAGATAACGCTATTTCAATATTTCTGTTTTTAGATCACGTTTCTTCTGGAATGTTAGTCGTGAAATGGCAGCGTGTAATTATGTACAGATATCACGCTTTGCATTGCGCTCACGTTGATTTTCACGTTAGATCACATGATTTCAAGTGTAACATGCCGTAATGTGGGATGGCTGATGTTTACCAGATTCAGATTTGGGAGCAAAGATGAAGGCTCCTCGGCGTAGCTCTCTAGCCTGGACCGGTCCCTTCGCTGTACCAACAACGGTTAATGACAAACCATAAAGCACTCATCTTGATATGCATGCATTCTCTACATATCCACACACCATAGTTGTACGCGATTATACGACTTTTAATTCCGACGCGCGAATTGCGCGATATTCAATCTGCAATAAATTGCTCCATATTTCGCTCATTGCTTTATCTCAATCGACTTTATCTCGAGAATTTAGACACTTATTGTGAAAATTACGATCAAGGATATTAGTGCTTGTGACATTATCTACGGGTTATTTTTCGAAAAATGAATGAAACGAATGATTGGAGTGATGCACGATGATAATAAAGTTGTAAAAATGTCTTCTATCATTACATGTATTAATAATTAATAAGGATCGACGATAAGAATGCATGTAAATGTGAACAAATAGGTCGACGTGCGTGACATATGATTAGTACAATATGCATAATGTTCAAGCCCGTATGAATGAGTCGAATGAAAAAATCGTACGAGGGAAAAAACATAATGACACAACCTGGTTAGTTGCACTCTTCCCCTACTTGTGTTAGTGTAAACTTTAATTAAATGCCAACCATCCGATTGAATGTGTGTGCAAACGGGAAAGGCGTGAGACAATAGTAGAATGAGTTGTATAATGGCTACATCAGAATTACGCCAGAAGCGGCTCCGTTCCAAGGTAAGCTTGATGGGCGAGACGCGAGCGAGAGCTTTGCATATCCGTGCGTATTTTTCATCCGCGCGGATGAACAATGTTTTTCACGTTCTTTTACGATCTACCAGGATGCTGTATTTTTTTAATATATCGAGACCCGAACTCTTCTTTTCCAGACTAATATCTTTGCTCGAATATATTCACCGGATCTTGTTCGCGCGCTTCATTCATATTCACCTCACGTGAACAAGGATCGATATGCAAAGCGCTCGCTTAACTTAAACTCGCACAGACAAATTTTATTCCAGAGCCCTGAACAAATTTTTATACAAAGTTTTCACCACGACAAACTACCTTACACACTCTTATAAATGTAGGATGAAACAGAATCATATTTTCAACAAAAAAAAAAAAGTTATCCTGTAACTTAGTCCAAAAAAAATCTCTGGTAGAGAGATATATCTTATGATTCCCTCCAAATCTCGAATTCTATTAAACCGACTGTTCGAGTGTAACTTACCTTTCGCGGTGGCGGAATGGGATTTCCGAGACCGTGATCCGAACACATGGAACTCAGGGACTCGCTGCTCCGTCCGTTGCTCAGTCTGGCCGCGACGCCGGACGGCGCCGGGGGCGGCGGGTTTCGCGGTCTCTGCAACGTCGAGCTGTTCGCCTTGTCCATGCCTGTTCGCAAGAGAGAGAGAGGGAGAGAGAGATACGTATGAATGCGGCAATCAGGGATAACGGAGGGCTTCTCCTCGCGAGATTTATCTATCGAATGTACCGTGTCCGCTTGACGAGTCGCTGCTCGGTGATCTCTTATGATGTTGGCTATTTAGTGTGTTCAACGTATGCGGTAGAGTGTGTAAAGTGTGGCCGGCTAAAATCGGTTCGCTGGTCGTACGACTGTGCGTCGACGTAGCCAGCGTGGGTAGCGTACCGTAGTGCGACGATGGCAGGACGATGCCGCTGCCGACGGCGCTCCCGGCGGGCGGCGGTGGCGGCGCCACCCGCTTCTTCAGCGAGCCGTGAATGTTCATGTTCATTGAGATGTCCGGCGCCATCGGGGTGGGCACTGCGGAGGAAAAAGAGATTCGACTGAAGTAACGGCGACGAAAATCGCTCTGCTGGTGCGCGAGCCAAGAGCGCGAAATTCAGCTCACCGGCCACGGGTTTCCTCGCCTGCGGCGGCGGTGGCGGCGGCATTTGCTGGCGATTCGTCGACGCGCTCGGCGACGACCCGCTCTGCAAACTGTCGCAGGTGCTGCTCCGACTGCGCAGCGTCACCGGCGAATCGCCCGATCCTGTTCCGCCGCCCCCGGCGTACGACGGTGGCCTGCTGCGTGATTTCTTCTCGGGTGTCAGGCATCCGTTCTAGGCAAAGATTCGGCAAACGTGAACGCGCGCGCGAACGCGATCTCTCTTGGAATGTTAAATGCGCGTATTTTCGCTCGCCTTCCATAAACTTACCCGATCTTCTATTATGGTTTCGTCGTCGGAGAAGTCCGTGGAACCCTCATCGTGAGAAAGATTCCAATCGATATTCACGTTGTCGAATAACGTCTTCTGCCTCTGCAGAGCGTGACTTAACTGAAAACAGTTTAACAATTTCTTTCCCCGCAGTACGAAAGATTGTTTCGAGCGGATCTTGAGCTGATTAAGAGATCGCGGAAGACTGTACGTCGGGAAATTAATATTTCTTGGTAACAGGAAAATAATTTATTTTTATAAAAATTGAGAGGAAGATAATAACGTGGATAAAAATATTGGCACAAAAAAAAAATACCAATTCCTTGCATGTATGGTGGCCCATTTCCTGCGCAATGTCCAGCGGAGTCTTGTCCTGTTTGTTCCGAGACGCGGGATCCGCGCCAGCTCGCAGAAGCAGCTTCATCGCCTCCGCTCTGTCGTGTCGCGCGGAAAGATGCAGCGCCGTTTCGCCGTCAATAGTTGCCCTGTCGATACCGCCGCTCGGCATGTTTTGTACCAAGAAGTCCACGATGTGCAGACTGCTGCCCATCTCGCGTAGAATGGCTAAATGTAACGCGGTCTCGCCCACATCCTGAAATGGACGTAGATGTTTGAAGGGACAACGTATTATACAGAACAAAACAGTTTCAATTGATTTTTTCTGCACAATCCAATAAATTATGTTCTCAATCTGAAGAAAAGTGGAGTGAAGAAATTTTATTGCCACTTATTTTTAATCGATTCGACGCAAGTATCTTTTAATTATACACAGAGCTCTGCAAAGATCTCGATAAGGTCTTACCGATGTTGGCAACGGCGCGGCCAGATCCACGTTCTCGGCGTAGACCTGCAGAAGTTGCTGCAGGTCGCGGTTATTAACGGCGTGCTCCAAATCGGAAAGTAGATCACGCTCGTCCGCGCACGTGTTCATCACGTATCTCTTATCCACGTATTTGGCGCGTATAAATTCGTACCTCTCCTCCCTAAAATGCCCGAGCGAGATAAAAATACGAAAAAAAAAACGTGCAGTAAATGCAAAGAGAATATAAATACATTATTCTTTTAATAATAAATTATGAAATCATAAGCGTCGGCTCACATCGTCGACGTCGGCGACGGCTTGAGATTGTGACGTAACGTCGCCTCCATCACCTCGTTGAACGCCTGATTGGTCATGTGTCGCGCGAGCAGCAACTGAGCGGTGCCGACGTTGTCCAGCGTGAGGGATTGTATTCGCGATATGTGCACGCCCAAGTCCCGGTGGATGCCGCTGCACTCTATGCACACTATTATGCCGAAGTTCGTCGACAGCCACGTGGCGTCTGAAAGGGAGACAGCAATCGTCGTTTCGACAACAAAACGCCCGCGCGTGAACTGGAGCGCGAGCGAAGTTGCCACTTTGTCGTGCAGCAACAGCGACGACAATGCCTGGCCAACGAACCAGGAGGACATTCATGCCGATGACACAAACGTGCTTACGTGGAAACTTCAACTCCGCGAACGAACATAATTTGACACGAGGACATGTCGCGTAACGCGCGACCGCGACGTTGAAAGCGAAAGTAAGTAAAAATAATAAATAATAATGAAATGACAAACAATTTTACTGTAAAGGCGCGATTTCGTCGGGATTGAGGTTAAAAATAAGTCGACTTCCCGTCTCACGACGCGTTAATTTAGCGGGGAAATCGCTTTAGACACGCGCCAAGTATAACGGTCGGACTTGGCACGCGTTAGAGAAAGCCCGGCCGGGCCTCTAAGCCGATATTCAAGTTACCATTCTGCGAAGAGCAATCGCAGCACTGATCGTTTCCGGGTAACCGCATTACGCATCGTATGACGGCCTGCTGCAGCTCGACGAGGCTGGGATTGCCGCTGCCGGCCTCCGCCTTGCCGCTCGCGTCGAACGCCCGCAGCAGGGCGCGTTCCTTGCAATTCACCAGGACCGACATCCACGCGCGCTGGTCCGCCTCGTCCTCCGCTTGAAAGTGGTACGTCCTATTGTCTGGAATCGAGACAATGACAATATCACGCGACGCCCGTCTATTGTGAAGAAACGACGCGACCGGACGCGCGCGGAAGCTCGCTCGCTCCGGCATCAGGCACCAGTTACTCACAGCTTATGAGATCGAAGCCTCGCTTGTCGTCCGGCACTAACTTGATCTGGCAGGTCAATAGGTTCACCCGGGTGGGCGGCTTGTTCTCGTCCGCGTGGCAGATATCGAGGTAGCCCTCCGCCTGCACGGCGCACCGTCTCTTCTGCCAGACTCGCCTCATCTTGCCCTCGCTCTTCTTCAGCAGGTGGCCGGACCGCGTGACGCCGTGCTGCTTGTCACCCTGCAGCTGGTGCAGCGAGTAGCCCGCGTTCGCGTTCGCGTTCAGCTGCGAAACAAGCGTGAATGTTGCTTAAGATCTGCGTGAGACTGAAAAAGGCCTCTAATGATAAAAAATTAATTGACGACAACCCTTTGGGCACCAATATCTGGCTCTTCCCTTTTTGTATCATCTATTTACGGCACGCGATTACAGAATTTGACAACGGAATGAATCGGATAAACTCAAAATTGACCAGGTTTTAAATCAGAATTGAAAATATTAATTTTTAAAAATAATAGTAACTTTGAATTAAGTAGGCCGAATAAGATGACGCCTGAAGAAAAGCTGTTGCCGTCGATAAATTAAAGCGAAGAAACGGTACCAATTAAAGACTATTAAATCCACTCCCACAATCGCGCCTTCTGCGACGAATTAGTTGCCGGCGAGAGACTCGGTTCTCGCGTTTTCGACGTTACCTCTTTATCACATCCGGAGCTCCTAAGAAGACTTCTGAGTTCCGTTAGTCGTCGCCTCTCCTCGTCCTGCGTCTGCCTGATTTTTTGTAACTTCACGCTGAGGTCGGCCACATACGAGCCGAAGTGTTCGATGGTCTTTAAGCCATCCTGAAAGTAACTGAAGTACGGTACGTAAGCATTAGAGAGCTCCATCAATTCTCCCGAAGATTAAAAGCTTCGAGAAACAATAGATGTTTGTCGCGGTAATGAGATTATTACGATAGCAGGATCGGTACAATAATAAGCTTCGCGGAGCCGCGATACAATGTCGATCAACAAGATTAACCGCGTTACACTCACTTTGTTTGCGCGTGATAATATTCGACTAGATGCTGCAGCAGCTCGATGCCCTTCTTCGTTTTGATCTCGTTCACTTTGATCAGATACTGCAAGCAAACATAGACAGCAATGATCGGCGGATTCCACGTCTCTAACCCCCTTCGCGCCCCCTGCCTTGCTCGAGCGCGTTTTTTATCGAGCGTATCGCGAAAGCGATCTGCAAATACAGGGTGTGCAAGAACTATCGCCGCTCCTTTAATCTACAGATCTTCCGGAGAATAATTCGATCGGGCGCCGCCTTTTCCGTCGACGAGTGAATTTTAAATGTTCTACTAAATAAAATTGTGGTATTTTCAATACAAATAGCTGCTTTTATACGATTTGATTAAACATTTATAGTTTCGTCCGTCAAAACTCTCTCAATTTTTCACCTCGGAACAGTACATTTTCGACATTTTTCCAACGTATAAATTCGGCTCTGTTTTCCCACGTTACATAATTTCTATCAAACTCTTATGTCGTATTATTTCGACAATTCCCGGATAAAATACGGACAGCATTTCTCGCGAGCGCCCTGTATCGACTGTCGGATGCAAAATGAAAATCGCGAGGACCCCGCCGTCCAGAATGTGAAATGCAAATGAAGTTCTCGAGTTAGAAGCGGATCTACATTTTTCATTCGTCACGATATCCGAACGGTCGGATATCGGCATCGATAATACTTGCGTCTCGCTGTCGCGACACGTTACGTCATTTTTTTTTCGTACGCTTTATACGCTCGATGCCTGTAATGCCACCGGCATCGCTCACCTCGCACATTTGCAACTGAAACAACCGTCTCTCCTTTTCCATTTCGTCGGCGATCTCGGCAGGCGTGACCTCCGTACGAATAAGACCGGCCTCCTTCGCGTGCTGCTTCTTCTCCTTCTCGATTTTCGCATACTTGGCCTCGTAGTCCTTCCAGGCTTTCTCGAAGGGCCTCTTCAGGTCCCCCTTCACGCCCCTCAGATCGCCCTTCAGCACCGAGTCCAGTGGAAACATCACGATGTTGTTGATGTTTTGCATCTGAAGTGAAAGAATCGATCGTTCTGCACTGTTCTGTTCATTACATTTAAATCGCAGAGATTTGGAAAATTAAATAAACATAGAGATAAATGCACTTTTTTCCTAAACGTCGATGTGTTAACCGAGATTATTAATAATCACACGCGTTTAGATATGTACTTGATACATAGCGGTCTATAAATTATCTAATGTGCAAAGAGGAATATATTTAAATTATTCCACGCAACCGTCTACAATCGCAGAACCGATGAATACATCGATAAAAATAGTGATAGCGTATCTGTTCGCTATACGTGCAAGTATTAGTCTTCCTTATCTCCGGTCGCGGAGAATTATTTCAGATTAACCGATGTAATATTTTATCTATTTATCGGAATACAACCGGTCGGGCAGGAGTCGGATAGGAAATGACGAATGCGAGCCTTCAGGACCGGGAATCGACCACCGCCTCGGCTGCGGCCGGCCGATAAATAGTGAATCACCGTCGATTCGCGTCAGCACTTTGCTAGTCGCCTCGCTTGCCCTGAATAGAACGCGGGCAGCTTCCTCGAAGCGGACCGCTCTCTCGAGGGCGATTCCTCGGGCCGCTTCACGACTCTCGTGAAAACTCGGCTGGAAAGCGCTCAAACGCCCCGCATAATGGCGCTGCGAGGATAATGCGCGGCCGGCTCGTAAAGAGGCGACACTTTTCACCGCCCGCGAAGCAAGCACTAGTTTTGCACGCGAAGGTGCTAAGCTGCGTCTTCTTTATTGCTATTAAAGTCGTTCGAAATATAATAAAGCTCTATTCAAGTTACATTTCTGTCGTCGCCTGTTTAGTGAATAATTATATTTAGCGGAGTCTGAATACTCACATTTTCACAATTAATTTGGAAAATTTTGATAATCTGTTTTACTGATGTTTGCTGTGAATTCAATTGTCTTTCATTAATTAACAAATTCATTAATTGAAACAAATTTTTATTTTTACTTTGTATCTTCGTGCAAATATTGGAAAAGTAAACATAATCGCAATCTGCAAAAGTTACATTCTCGATTTTTCGCAAAACACTATAAACGATTTGTTATTTAATTTATTACATGTTAAACTTAATATTCCAGTACACTTTTCTCACCAAAGATATCTTGAATTGCATACGATAAGAGGAATATCGCCGGAATTACGTTTAATCCTTTGATCAGAAATGCTATTCGATAATCCATATTCGAATACGATCGAGAAGGTTCGCAGTTCAAGCGTCAGAGATATTACTTCCGCCTCTCGCTGGATGCATCATGCGAGTTGAACCGAAGCCAATATCGGACGCAGATACATTTTAACCAGTTGGACTTATGACGTCACCGCGCGATAGACGATCAAACGCAACGGTTCGGAACTCGGGCGAGCGGACGGGCGAACGAGCGATAGCCGGGGAAAAAAAAAAAAAAAAAAACGAAACAAAAAAATCGCGTTTACATTCCGGGAATTTAGATTCAATCCGCGATCGTTCGCGATATGAGGCACGCTGAAAATCGCAACGGCCGCCGAATGGCACGTCTGGAGCCCCGATAAATATAAATTCGCGGTCGCTCGTGCGTGATAGAATCTAGGAGAGCCCCACTCGCGCTCCCGCGGCTTATAACGTCCGTGCACGCTTCAGTAAACGTAATTATCCCACAGTGAGCCCGTGAGACGTCTCGATTTGTGCCGCACAGGCTAACCGCATAGCGCGAGCTTAGGGCATCGTCTCGCAGGCGGAGAACCAGTTTAAATCTGCATCGTCCGGCATCTAAATCCACGCCCGAAGGATCGCGCGCGCGCATCCTTCTCCCGCCTTCCTTCACTCCGGCTAATTTATTCGCGTCGGAGCTAAGAAGATATTTCACTCGCATCTATCCGGCATAATTTTTTAAATATACGCCGCAAGACGCGTTTTATACGCAGACCGCTAATACTTTCGTTCGGCGAGACACACTTCTCGTCAGCGCGGAAGCGTCGCTTCCGTCTGCCAGCCCGCGCGTCCTTTTGCGCGAGACATCGTATTAATGCGGACCCGCCGTCGTCCAATCGCGTTTCTTAATTCAGCGGGATGACGAGCGGTGGCTCCGGGCGGCGCCCGAGGCGAGCAGCCGCCACAGCAGGAAATTGCGAAGCGCGCGGAGGGTTTCTCCTCGCCGAGCGCAATCGTCAGTCTTAGCAATGGGCGTGCGCGCGGCTGGATGTCGGAAAAGTGAAAATATACGAGCGTGGCGAAAGGACTTTTAGCATTTGCCACCGACATAATGGATTGAGTAATGTGCTTGCATGCAAAAACCGCCGGTCCCTTATCTTTTATCATCGGCTTTACTTTAGCTCGAAAAGAGCAGAGCATAATGTAACTCGTCTGATGTAAAAAGGACGCATCTCGTTGTCTCCGATGAATTTTTACACAATTTTCACGGCGTGCAATCTTCTTTCGAGCGAAATAAAAAATTGAGAAATTTTCAATCGCAAGATGAACATTCAAATGTTTGACTTTCGCATGAATTTATAACGCAGTCATCCCGAGTCGAAATTTAGCGTCTCTTTTAATGCTCATACAGCCTATATGAATCTATTTTTACGGAATTAGAACCTAGAACTCCTCTTTTAAAACTTGATCTCCTATAATTTGACGTTGAAATACTACTTTAAACCTATAGAGCCTCACAAAATAGATTGTATTACTGCGAGAACTCCTCCATTAAACCTCGAACTTTTATCTAGTATATATATATACTAGATAAATTCGACCTATAAAAGTTATTATAATGTTTAATCATAAAGGAAAATATTTGATTCGTTGCATTTCCAACTTTCATTAATATTGAT